GTAGTGTTTCCCGGTCTTTTAAAACAATTCGCCGTGGTTTGGTGACAATCAGTCGTGCATCACTAATCCCAATTGATTCATTAATCACAAATCTCATTGATGGTCACATCAACTCTTGTTTTAAATTTGCTCACAAGATTCTAGATGACCCTCTTCATCCACTACACCCTGATCTATCTATCGTCTTGTAGTTCCCATCCGTCCACACGCTCCTCATTTCGACAGCTACCCTCTCGCATTAACATTTATAAAAATTCCCCTGTACCGTACCTGGCCCGACTACTTACCAAAAAGGAACAGGTATCTAATGAACTACGTCAAATGCTTTGTACATGAAACGTATATCACCGATATTCTTTACCTTTTGTTTTTATTTTTTTATTTCATTCTGCGGGACGAACAGTGTACATTTTTAACTGAAATGTAAGCATATATGCTTACAAGTTACAAATACAATACCATGCAAACTGGAATAGAATGCGAAGCAGCCTGTGAGAATAATAGTACAAAAGATTCGAAGTGTAAAGTGACAAGAATGAACGGACATTAACCAATATTGCTCCAATCTTGTTGCTTTTCAGTGTCTTTATTCAGCAGTGTATTCTTATCAAACCCACGCTTCCATTCAATAATATATAACTGCCTCCCCAGGCCTCAGTATGGTTGGGGGTGGGTGTCTAGGGTTGCGGCTGGTCACCCTGCCCTTGCACCTCACGGAATGCCCCCATACGACCAAGCGTCTCAAATAGCCTCTGCTGAGGAAACCCTACTCACTGCCTTCTCGCGGCGGTGTTTTCCCACCAAAGTGAGAGGACGAAAAGCCGATATCGGGGGCTATAGCCGGGTTGGTAGACCACTGGCAGTTCACCTAGGGGAGTTGACCAAAAATCCTGATTCCAAACCAACCATGAGGAGACGTACGAACCACACCCACATCTTTTCGGTTGTGGCAGTGGTCACCGGCTCGATTGGGCATTGAGGTGTATTGGGCANCCGGCTCCCAATGGACTGCGGTTTTCGCACACCGCCCCGCTGCCTTGCGGATCAGGCTTTGGCTAGCCGAAGGCTCCGGTTGTGGATTCCTCAAGAAAATTCACCTGCCTTGGCCTGGGCAACCTGGCAGTACTCAGTCCACAAGCCAATCATGGAACATTTTTCTTTTTATAAAGATTATTGTACCATGATTTTTTGGCACACAGTCTGTCCTCAGACAAGTGTGAAATATATATATATATATATATTCAATATAACTAAATGGGGGACGAATGAAAAGTCTACGACTATCAGGATCAACTATTCAGATAGCATAGCTAACAGATTTTTGGCCACGCTAATTGAATTGGGGAACCGTACGATTCTTCGATAGAACAGATATGAAGACCAGCGATCGTAAATCCGTCTGTATAACTAACTCTCTGTTCACGTCTCACTGGACCCGTTCATTCCATGGTACGCTTATTTTCGCCCTCTTCCAGATTGTCAATTAACCAACCCACTCCACGGTGAACCTCCTGCTCGTCAACGGTTCCCGCCCAGACTCGGACTCGGTTCATAATCAGTTTTCTCGTGCATCCGTTCGCATAGTCGAACCCAAGCGTATTAAATGTCAAACACAAAACTGACCTAGCGGTGATGAAGTTCGAGGCAAAACATAAAAAGATGCATGAAGTTAGTAGAACCACATTACTCACATATTTCCCATCAATCATTTTTTGTGGAAATTCCGGGACGTAAATACGCACATCATCATCCTCGGCCAGTTTGTGTTGATCGAACAGACGACCGACAAGAAGTGAGGTGAAACTTTTGCTGATACTGGCAATTCGAAATACGGTATTGTCACGTACACGAACCAGTTGTTCCACATCGGCGAACCCGAAACCTGATTGGGTGATTGAGAGAATGACGCTGATCAATAAGCGATTGTTCTGGAGAGAACATAACGCACTAAATGTTGCGATACTGGTGGACAGTGTCAGCGGGATACAATTAGGCGAACTGAAATGGTACAATGGTACAGTGCACGGAATTCGTCAACCAGGATTTTCTACCAAATGCCAAAAGACAGCAACCAAAACCGGCGCACGATTATTAAATGGGAAAAGTGAAACTACATATGCCAGTGGTAAATCGTTTCTGCTAGCACCCTGCTCACTACGTGGCCTGTTTTATTGAGGCTTTACGTGGTCTACCATGGTTTCCGACATTCTCCTCACATGGTGACTTATCGTGGTTTACTACGATGACGTTCTATCTTTCTCATCCGACTCATTCGCAAAGCTACCACGAGTCAATCACTCGCACCAGCATTTACGGACTGAAGTACACAACATTGAGTTCGTGTAGCAATTTCGCGGTTATTCTTCTCCCCGTGACGAATCTTCATACCTCTACGCCATGTCATGGTCTGACCGCCGCGCCGCTTCTTCCAGCCTTGCCCGGCACGTGCAAAGAGAGCACGGAAAGGAAGTCTATGGGCAGGGATACGCAATACGTGACCCAGCCATCGGAGGCGGTGTAGAGCGATTACTTCTGTTAGAGGGCGACTATCTGCACCAAGCACACGATGACGGACCTCGTCATTGCTCACCCGGTGTTCCCACCAGACACGAGCAATGCTTCGGAGACATCGGTGGTCAAACACAGAAAGTCGATTAGCATCCTCCGCTCGGAGAGGCCAGGTCCCGCAACCGTAAAGCAGAACGCTACGAACTGCGGCGATATACACCCTTCCCTTAAGGGACAATCAGATGTCATGGCGGCGCCACAGGTGTCGCAGGTTGGCGAAAGCTGCTCTAGCTTTCGCTATTCGTGATGTGATCTCGTCCCCAACACCATCACCAGCTGCAATCAAGCTCCCGAGGTACTTAAAACTCTCAAATATTGCCAGCTGACCACCACAGAGGGTGAGTACAGGTAAAGGCTCCTGCCAGTCTTGAACAAGCAATTTGCATTCGGACAGCGCAAAGCACATACCATACCTCGATCGCTAAGCGATTCAAAGCGTCTTGGACTGTCTGCGTGTTGTCACCCAGCAAGGCGATGTCATTTGCATATTCTTAGTCAAGGACTCTGTTTCCATCTCGAGACACGCATTTTCGCACTGTGATTGAATCTCGTGACTTTCTGGCTTCGTTCCAAATGTGATTGCTGTTTTACCTTGGAAGCCTGCAAATCTATTTTCAACTTCAATGAGATCATTTTTCAAGTTAGACATCTTTTAATTGCAAATTTCTCCGAACCC